CGCAGCGTCACCGCGGCGCTGGGCACGTACCGCGCCTGCAACACCCACCGGTCGTGTCAAACTACACACGGACGATGAGCACTCAACGGAGGCACCGAGACTAAACACGCGCCGGTCTTGTCACACCACGAACGGAATGTCAAACGAGGAGCGCTAGACGGAGGTTCCGAGGCTGAACACGCGCTGGCTGTGTCTAACCATACACGGCCACGTCAAGCGAGGGCACTAGACGGAGGTACGGGGACTGTAACACACTCCAGCCGTGTCAAACCACGCACGGCCACGTCAAACGAGGAGAGCTAGACGGAGGTATGGGGATTGTAACACGCGCCAGCCATGTCAAACTACCCACGGCCACGTCAAACGGGGGGCACTAGACAGAGGTGTCGGGCTGGAACACGCGCCAGCCGTGTCACACCACGCACGGACACATAAAACGAGAAACATTAGACGAAGGTACCGAGACTGCAACACGCGCCAGCTGCGTCGAACCACACATGAACACGTCAAACGAGGAGCACTAGACGGAGGTACCGGGACTGTAATACGCGCTAGCCGTGTCATACCACACATGAACATGTCAAACGAGGAGCACTAGACGAAGGTACCGGGACTGTAAAGCGCGCCAACCGTGTCAAATCACGCACGGCCACGTCAAACGAGGAGCACTAGACGGAAGTATGGGGATTGTAACACGCGCCAGCCGTGTCACACCACGCACGGACACATGAAACGAGATACATTAGACGAAGGTACCGAGACTGCAACACGCGCCAGCTGTGTCAAACCACACATGAACACGCCAAACGAGGAGCTGCAGCTGGAGCTGGAGCTTCCAGCTGCAGCTGGAAACCAGACACCAGTGCGCCGTCGAGGCGGGTATCCACGCACACAGTGTTGCCGCTTTGAGATATAAAAATATCACTTGAGGATAAGACGGGGCAATTCTGCCATGGGTTCAGTGACTCACTCGCACCGTGCCGGCCCACACTGTTGACACCGTTCGCATCCTTCGCATCATTGTCGTTAGTACACGCCTTGATGAGGTCAGTGGGCTGCGACTTTCTACTCTCTGGACCTACAGCAGCCCCTTCCATGGGCTGCGTAGGCCCACTGGAGGGCAGGGAACGATTCCATGACGCCGCACTCACTCGGGGCTCAACGCCGACAGTCGCGTCCAGAATATCGTCGACCACCTCGTAGATCTTGCTCGCCGGCCTCGCGTTCTTCAGTATCACCCATGAACTTCACCTGAAAATCGCGAAACGAAACAGATTTGAACACACTGTCGCTCCATGCGCCACCTATACAACAGTGACGTCCACGATTTACCACCGGCGCCGCTGCCATGGAAACGCCACGGCCATGTGATGAACACAGCGCGGAAAACGCTCGGTTGCCAATAGTTCGGGTCAGGTGCTGGAGTCTGTGCTCGGTTTAACATCTGCACAATCAGAGGATGCTTGCAGGCACGCTGGTCATCACCTGATTACGGGAAACAGGCACGTGTTTTATCGCCTCACGAAATACTCTGGCAATCTGCTACCCATGTCATAATCAAACAGTGGAACGATCGAGAATGGCGTATTGAAGGCGCGCCGCTACCAGTCTTCATGAAAAAAAACACATTGAGTGTCCCTATCGGAATGCACGCCATCCTTCAAATCGGCCCACGGGCACACATCTCGAAATCATGCATCACAACGGGTGCAGTAATATACACGAGAATGTGCGGGCACATCGGTTCTGCGCAGATGGGCATGTGGGTGGCATTCCCTAACAAGACGAAGGACTGTCCGCCACTGGTGCTCATCCGAGGGGACTGCCGTTCGGGACTGAGGGCTGGGACTGCCGTTCGGGACTGAGGGCTGGGACTGCCGCTCGGGACTGAGGACCGAGGACGGCCGCTCGGGACTGAGGCTGAGGCCCCTCGGTGATGAGGACTGAGGGCTGCCGCTCGGAACTGAGGACTGCGGACGCCCATCGGGGCTGAGACTGCCGCTCGGGACTGAGGGCTGGGTCTGCCGTTCGGGACTGAGGACCGGGGGCTGCCGCTTGGGACTGAAGACTGAGGACGCCCCATCGGGCTAAGGACTGAGAACTACCGCTCAGCCGCACGCAGTCAGGTAAGGACACCAGCATCCCGAAACGACGCGGCTCGAGCCCGGCCAAGGCGAGGTCGACGGTGAGTCCGTTGCAAGAAAAACAGCTGGTGTCCGGACGCTTGGGAGGAAGTCACTGTGTGCCGAGTACATAAGGCATAGATTGTCAACATCGTGTTCGCTGAGGAACCTCAGCTACTCCAAATTTTGATTGGGTTTGAACAAGTTACGGTTCTTTTCACCACGTTTAACCATTTTAGAAGCATGGCATAACGGAAAGAGGTGAGTGGTGTGAACATTACTGAGACCCTTGCGGGAGACACTCGCTAGCGACCTGTTACTCTCCGCACAGGGGCTCTTCTCTGGAGATTGTGCGAGCGCCTGGCAGTCGCCACTTCAACCGTCTTTTGACCCACGGTCCGCAGCTTGCTCTACGAGGCGGTACGCTGCCGGGACGTATGGTATGACATTGATGAAGCCGGCGGGTGAGGGAAGCAGGACGAATGACAGCTTTAATACAGTGTCTCACCTTGAACTCGTCGCGGTAGTGTTCTCCGTATGAGGCTCGCACCTCCTCGCCCGCGGCGTCCCAGTCCTTCTTCACTGTGCCCTCCAGAACGCTCTCGGACAGGATCGGCGTGCTGCAACCGCGGAGACAATGTGACGTCATCGGGATGACTCGTGAACGGCATGCGTGTGACGTCATCACTCGCGATCGACGCGTATTGCGGCGTGACGTCATAGCTTGGATGCGTGAACGGCGCGGTATGAGACGTCATTGCTCTCCATCGACGAATCACACGGTGCAACGTCATCTCTTGGGGGCAAAACGATTCGTCGAACAGACTCCGGCGATTGCAGTGGAGGTGCAGGAGGCCTGGGGCACAGGTGCCAATGCCTGTGAGTTTGGCTCTGGCGTAATGGCCGGATGTTTTTGGCCCCAGAGCTAACGATTGCCGGCCGGGCTCTTAAGCAACCGCTAGAAAATTATAGCCGGGAATACGCTGTTCAGTGAAACGGTGCTTTCATCATTTAACAATTAATTCACAATTCGCGTTGCCACCTTACGAAGATTAGAACGTCCCGTTGTGGGCAGTTCGTCAACTAACTCAGACTGACGTGAGGACATCATCGCACTATCGCTGAGCGGCAGATCAACGAGCGTGACGGCACTGGCGGAATCACTTGGTAAACACACAGAAACATGGGGTTACAGGCGATCATGTCAGCGACTCGTGGCACCATCTTACTCAGGAATCAGTGCACTCCATATATCCATGTCGGTGAGGTTACCAGTTGACGTCGTTACACTACTGGCGAGAGAGTACAGGACTACTAGTACCACTAAATGGCGCCAGGTGCCACCGTCTGCGGTCGTCAAAGCGCCCAGAGGCGGCCATTCAAACCTGGGGAGGGCTGTTGCATGATTACATCATACTCCGAAAACGAGGCGCCGCAGGTCGACTTCAAACTCACTGAACAATACGAGAAGCTGCCATTCCTGCGGTGCCCGAGCCGCGGCAGTGTGACCAACACCTTGCCGGCCCCAAAACGCCAGCTGGAGGTCATGAACAGGACACACTACACCCCGCACAGGAGCGTGACACGTTCCTGAAGTCTCTCTCAAAACGCCGACTCCACCAGTCTGGGCCCGCTTTCTAGTCTCACGAGCTCGCCCGGTAGACAGCGGCTGGTCCACCTCCGTGGGCCGAGATTGCTAACCACCCGAGCCGCCTCGGCCGGGGCCGAAGGTGTCGACTCGACGCTGCGGGCCGCCGCCAACAAATACAGCGGCGTCCGGCCGCGGGCCACCTGCCGACGCTATTTCTGTGGTCACGCCGTCGGCGGCTCAAGTAGCTTGTTGACGGAACACGGAACGTGATCTGTGCTTTGGACTGGAGATGCAGTCCAGTAACGGCGCAGGAGATGCAGTCCAGTAACATCTGGAGCACGGCGCAGGAGATGCAGTCCAGTAACGCTCGGGGCCCGGCGCAGGAGATGCAGTCCAGTAACATCTGGAGCACGGCGCAGGAGATGCAGTCCAGTAACGCTCGGGGCCCGGCGCAGGAGATGCAGTCCAGTAACGCTCGGAGAGCGGCGCAGGAGATGCAGTCCAGTAACACCTGGAGCCCGGCGCAGGAGATGCAGTCCAGACACGCTCGGAGCCCGGCCTCAGGAGATGCAGTCCAGTAACAGCCTGGGCCCGGCGCAGGAGATGCAGTCCAGTAACATCTGGAGCTCGCGCAGGAGATGCAGTCCAGTAACGCTCGGAGCCCGGCGCAAGAGATGCAGTCCAACATCACCCGGAGCTCAGCGCAGGAGATGCAGTCCAATAACAACTGGAGTGCGGCCCAGGAGGTGCCGTTCAGTTACACCCGGAATGCGGCGCAAGAGATGCAGTCCAGTAACACCCGGAGCCTGACGCAGGAGATGCAGTCCAGTAACGCTCGGAGCCCGGCGCAGGAGATACAGCCCAGTTACACCCGGAGCCCGACGCAGAAGATGCAGTCCAGTAACGCTCGAAGTCCGGCTCAAGAGATGCTGTCGACCGCACGGGGGCTGCCGTCTGGCCGGTTTGTTGGTAGGCATTTGATTTTAAGGACAAGGGGCACGAATGGACAGGTACCGACTGAGCACGAAAGCTCCGTCTAAACTGAACAGCACACACTTCTAAGGGACAAAACGGACCGCCGCGCTGACACCAGAACCAACGGCGAAAAAGCGAGTGTTTACAAGAGCGTTCGCCACTTAATGAACAAGTGTTAAAAACGACTAACTTTCATTCCGCAAGCTCCCTGTCTCCAAATAGCGAGCAATTTAGGTTGACTGACGCGGCACCGTATGTGTGACTGACAGGGCGGAAGATATCGCTCCAGTCCTTCCCGCGCTACCCGTCTCGTGAACTCCCCATCAAGCTGCCGAATCAGCAGGACGGGGTGGTCTGAAGACGCTCATCTTCGCCCCAGCGCCAGCTGCGCTCGCCGGCGCTGACTCGCGCCAGCTCCGCGTGGACTGATCCACCTACCGGTAGGTGGACGGCTCCACCGTGTGGACGGAGATGTTGAACTTGTGCATCTCGCGACGCAGCCCGTCCGCGAACGAGATCGTAGCGTGCTTGGAGGCCGAGTAAGCTGACAGGCCCGGGATGGTGTACCGGCCTGAGGTCAAGGTGGGGTGGAGTCAGAGTCAGACCATAGCAAACAAGATGGCAAGTCAAGGCCGAGGTCAAGGTCAGACCGAGTTCAATTCAGGGCCACACCAGGCAAAGGGGATGGTGGCATGCTTAAAGACCGAGTAAGCTGACAAGTCCGGTATAGTGCACCGACCTGGGGTCAAGATTAGGCATCTCAAGGTCAGGGTCATCCAAGATCAGGTATGTGTCAGAGGGGTCATAACTGCCATTTGATGTAGCGTACGAGATAATGAAGCTGACAAGGTCACCTACGTATCAGGTCATTTGATCAGACTTAAGACAGGATCGGAGCGATGTAGGGAGGTCAATATAGAGGCAAGACTTGATCAGGGCCACCTCAGCCGGTATCCACAAACAGGGGTGCCACTTTATAAAATCGGTTGGGGGGGGGAGCGGAGCTCAGCTGAAAAGGCTGACCCAACCCACTCTCAAAATTTGATGTTTTCCCGCACTTCGGCCACTTTGCATCCTCGATGCTACAATTTATACCAAACTTTTTGCAATATTTCGTAGATTCAAAATTATGTTCCTGCAGAGGAATGACGCCCCATTTTAGGTTGATCTGAACTGCCTTTCTCAATTCAGCATGGGGGTAGCAGTCTCTCACGAAGTATATGAAGTGACGTCCCCGTCCATCAACTTTAAAAAAGAGGCGTAACAGTTTTGTAAACTGTAAGGCGCAGTTTAGTTCGCATCGTTTGAAAAGCAAGTCGATAATATGCGGTGGGCCGTTAACAAACGACAAATGTCGCATCCTTTGACGATGTTTGAGTTCATTTGAAAACACTCGCGGGTATGCAAGCGCTCTGTCAACTTCCACACGGTTCAAGGCATTCGCTTGATACACTCATCATCGCGTAACATCTGTACCGTACTGCTGCTGTCCAGCCGTTGTAAGCGTGCGCGCGGCAGCCGAACAGCTGACGCGTGGCACGAGGCCAAGCCAGCAGTGCCATGAGGCGCGTCAGCGGCTACGGCTCCCACCGACCCCCTCCCCCCCCCGCACACACACAGCGCTGCACTCGAAACGACGCGAGTCCGGATGCCTTGGAGCATGGCGACGGACGGCCGACGCGCCTGCCACCGGTTCTTGAGACGCAGCAGGTCATGTTGCAATGTTGCAGATCGTGTTTCAGCACGACACCACGTGCGGGCAGAGTGCAGTGCGGGACGGGCGCGTTTCGGGATCTGCCACCGACGGCTAGGCACGCGCTGAAGCTGTGCTCCCTGGAATCTGAGCCTTTAGGCTCAGGCAAACCTGCTCGCAAAAGCGCTTGGGCGTATTGCGAACAAACTGTTTCGTGGTGGTCTGGTGTAGATGGATGCGTGTTGTACTATTGTGATAGTTTGAAATGTTATGCAAGAAGTTGATAATAGGCAGCAGCATGCCATTTTTATACCCATTGCCCCTGAAAACAATTCTGGCCCTAAACACGAATTTGGTACGTAAATTACGAAACGACATCGAACGACTTCTGAAACTATGATTCCTCGGCTGAATGACCCAGTCACGGTGTGTGGTCTGTCCCTGTGACTGCCAGACCAGGCGCCCGAGCGTCAGCCGCGCCGCTCGGTCAGCGACCTGAGCTTGCCCTGACCTGACGTGGCCGGCAGGCGGCCGCGGCCTGACCTGACGCGACCGGCAGGTGGAGGTGGCCTGAGCTGACGCGACCGGCAGGTGGAAGTGGCCTGAGCTGACGTGACCGGCAGCTGGAAGTGACCTGACCTGACCTGACCTGACCTTGACCCTACCGACCGCAGTGGTGGTTACGCACCGCGGACACCGCGATGAAATTAAGTCGTTTATAGTGCGTGTCGTTGTGGGGCTTGAATCCAAACATGCTTAACCAAACCAACCGTGCTGTATAGGTCCTGAATAGCTTTGCGGAATGGGTGACTGATCGCCAGCGGCAATCGCTCCTGACCTGACATCAGTCTGACCTGGCCCGTGACCTGAGCTGACCTGCCAAGCTGGCGACGATCACCACCCGGCCCCCTGCGCCGTGCGCCCGCACCAGCGGCAGGAACGCCTTGGTGACGCGAATGGCGCCCAAGCAGTTGATCTCGAACAGACGCCGGTACATGTCCAGGGAGCACCACTCCACCTCCGAAATCGTGAAGACGCCCGCATTGTTCACCACCGCGTGCAGCTCTGAAACGGAGGCGGACACCGGTGACCTGTGACCTGTGACCTCTACCGAACGAAAGGTCGCGAGTTCGTTGCGGTACGCGGAATACTCAGAAGGCCCGCAGTGACGGTACGTTTCTGCCATGCGGTAATAGAGAACAAAATGAGCGAAAACGACGGCGGAAAACGGTGCGTGTCAGCCAAAAATGTTGCATGGATTTGCTGATCACTTCGAGGGAAAGTAAGCGGCAAAACGCTATTTTGACGATAGTTATTTTGATAATGGTAAATTATGGGTGGGATATAAGGCGTAGAGCACAGCTCATTTGGTCATAACCAAAGGAAGCAAAAAAAGGGCATAAACAAAACACCAACTATGCACAATATCATGGCACCATGCAAACCGATGTACGTGATATATATATATATATATATATATATATATATATATATATATATATATATATATAATGTATAATAACAATAATAATAGTAATTCGTGAATCGATTACTGTAGTCCCAAGTGTGTCAGTGCTCTGACGTATATGCGCTTGACAACTAACTGACGGCGCACACAGGCAACGCAAGTCAATATCTCGATCAATACCCTAACGGGGTGTGCGTGGAGTGGCAGGCCAATGCCGTGGCATATTTGTGGATGTAACTGTGTTTGTGGCCCCACTGGCGCACGGAAGATCACAGGAACACGTGGCTATTACTATGCGGCGTCATGAAATGATATTTATAGTACTACATATATATATATATATATATATATATATATATATATATAATAATATATATATATGCATATATATATATATACATAATCTCTCTCTCTCTCTCTCTCTCTCTCTCTCTCTCTCTCTCTCACTCTCCCTCTTATCGTAGGGGTACGTGGTCTGCGCGTGGTCTGTAACTGCAGGCGTCCAAGCGTCAATCTCGCTGATTCGTCAGCGCTCTGATCTGACCACGTGTTACCAAACGAGGCACTACAATCGCAGTTCCAGCAGCCACTCATGACTGCCCGCACACCCTGGCATTTCCGAGGGGAGCCAACCCCACGACAGATCATTACAAGCGGTCGTGCTACTTGGCTGACTCAAAGAGATCATTTGGTATTTCCGTTTCAGCATGGGAGGGTATTAAGGAACGCGAAATGCCTGTTGCACTGGCTGCCCCCAGGGTCTATGACTGACTTAACACACCGCCCTCGCTCTTGTGTGCACGCCAGGCGTGCGCCAGATGTCCTCGAGTGTGATCTCTAATGGAATAACTCTCGTAAACCATGCTTCACCTGACCCATTCCTGGACTCGCTAGACTTACCAGGCTCTTTTGATGAGCCTTTCCAGGACCCACCAGTACACATGAACAACACTAGACTCACTGGAAACATTCAAGGCTCAGTCATCATTCAGCAACATTTTCAGGCTCATCGCTAATTTTCAAGACAGGTATCCTTTGGAGCATTCTACACACACACGCACACACGCACGCACGCACGCACGCACGCACGCACGCACAGCACGCACGCACGCACGCACACACGCACGCACGCACGCACGCACGCACTCTTCGACCTTGGAGACCTAGGCATGCTCAAGGAGGGTGTCCCAGGCTTGCTGGCCTCCCCCAGGACTTACTGGTATCCTTGAGGAGGGCTCCCACGCGGACCACAGCGGCAGCCACCTGCTCCTGGCTGGTGACGTCACAGGCGACGACGGTCAGCGACGAGGAGCAGTCGCGCTGCAGGGTCCGCGCGCCCTCGCCGTCCGGAAACAGGCAGCCGGCGAACACGCGCAGCCCGAGAGCGTCCAGACGGCGCGCCACCGCGTGGCCGAAGCCCGTGTCACAGCCTGCGGTGCCGAGGAGTCAGCGACTGTCCGGTACGGCGGCGGGGGAGGTGCAGCAGAAGCCGTGAGGGACAGTGGAATCCAGCCTCAGGTGCGGGCGTGTGCCAGGACTGTCCGACACGGTAGCGGGGAAAACACGGCAGATGCCGTAAGAGGCAATGGAGTCACACACGTACACACACACACACACACACACACACACACACACACACACACACATATATATATATATATATATATATATATATATAAGTAATATAGTATATATACGGCAAGTAATATATATATATATATATATATATATATATATATATATATATATATATATATATATATATATTACTTGCCGCGCGTTTCACAGAACAACGGCTGCATCATCAGGCAAAATAACACACACGTGCAGTGTAAGCCATGACGGATTTAAAACGCCCACAGACAAATAAAAAATACCACCTATGTACATGCAATGACGCATGTGTGGTACACGAATGGCACGCCCAACTTTACAGACATATATCCTTTTATCACAATTTCTAACAGACATGATGAAGTCATGTCATCCAGCTTTGAACGTTTCTAAAATGTGAGGACTCTAAAATTATCAAATCCAGCTAGGAATAAGTATATTAAAATTTCAATGAATTTGCCAATGAACTAGCAGGCGTAGAGTTAAATGGTGACGTAATTTTGGCTATTTACAATATAGTTAGTTCATTCACTAACATATATTTACAAGAGACGATCGATATTTGTGTTAGAAGCCCATTTTCGGCAAACACTGATGCGATAGGAATAAGCATGAAATATTTCAGGTCCCTCCTCAAATTCGCTGTGACGAATTCGCTTTTTCAACTCCAATGGCAAGCTTTATGGACGGAAAGAGAGGGTGGGTATGGGTCTGACTTTGGGTCCAACGTGTGCTAAAACTTGTATGCGTAATTATGAAAAACTCTGGCATAGTTCCTGTTCGACCGAATTCTGCCCTTTCTCTTATCGCAGGCATGCTGACCATTGCTTTCGTCTTTTTAAGGACAGGTCTCACAATATTGTTTATTGATTTTTTTCTTAGAAATAGGCATCCAGGCACTAGATTGACGAAAGAAAAGAAGTCAGACAGCAAAATTACTTCTCTGGACGTCCTCATGTACAAAGACGGTAATCGTTTACGCACTTCGTTGTGCCGAACACCTACTGTCCCTGGACTGGGCACGAGTTTTTCAGTTTTGATTCCGGAATCATTAAAGCTTAGCTCAATATGGACGGCTATCTTTAGCGCATACTATCTTAGCTCTACTTATCAATTCTTTCATGCTGAAGTCGAGAGTTTAAAGGGGTGCTCCGGGAACAACAGTTTTGCCCTGTGTAGCATTCATCCTTTCATTTGTAGGTCCCCCGATTCTAGATATATTTCCTCGTCCAGGCCCTTTGAGGTTCCAAAACTCTTGAGGTTTGAGGTTCCAGGCCTTTAAGCGTCGGAGGGATAAATAACTTCACTTCATCACATCCATAAGAAATTGTTTTAAAATGATATATGTCCGTAGCATTGGGGGTTGTCGTATTTCATTGCGTGTGTATGTGTAGTATTTTCAATAGGGCGTTGCGAGTAATATAAGATCATAAGTTGATCAACGCATGTTAACATGAGTCATTTCTTAGTGAGGAAGCTACACACACACACACACACACACACACACACACACACACACACACACACACACACACACACACACACACACACACACACACACACACACACACACACACACACACACACACACACACACACACACACACACACAACACACACACCACACACACACACACACACACACACCACACACACACACACACACACACACACACACACACACACACACACACACACACACACACACACACACACACACACACACACACACACACACACACACACACACACACACACACCACACACACACCACACACACACACACACACACACACACACACACACACACACACACACACACACACACACACACACACACACACACACACACACACACACACACACACACACACACACACACACACACACACACACACACACACACACACACACACACACACACACACACACACACACACACGCACACATTGCATCTTGAACCGCAAGCAGCGGAATCAATGCCGAAAACAAGCCACGTCTCCCGCAGTCCGAATTGCGGCGGACCTTAAACGACGTTGTGACGAATGGCTACCGATTCACTTTCACACCGTCTTCCCCGTCGCTCAATCGCAATCCTGTCTCCCCCTCCCCCCCCCCCCCCTCTAACCCTTTCTTTAACGCCGCTGGATCACTCGGGTCCCGATACACACATATTCCTTTTACCGACCGTTGAACCAAGTGGAAACCTCAACTAGCCTAATAATGCAAAACATAACTGAAACAGAGTAGCCTAACGAAAGTAACTGCCCTTCTTGCATCCTTTGAATTTATCATGAAGAGGTGACCATTTATTTTGACGCATAATCGGAATCACACCTTTCACAATTATTAGTATCGTCTTTTGAAAGTGAAAACGATCCATCCTATCTCACTGATATTTTCAGATTCTTAGCAATGCGTTTAACGCTTAACGCTAAAACAGACTTGCGCAGTTCTGGCTCTGAATGCTCAAAAACGCGGCGTCATAAAGACATACCACGCGACATTACCACGTAGGACATAGTCAACCGATAAGTATGCACCGAGAGTTAAAAGTATCCCTTTTGAGTGGGTCCTTCACCGGCAAGAACGTAAAATAGCGTCTTTACAGACATCAAAAAGATATGGGACAAACGCATTGAAACAACTATCATTCAACGTCATCAGTGACAGTGACTCACCTGTCACAAATACAGCCTTGTCTGACCGATGGTCTATGACGTAACGGGGCAGAAATTGTCGCAGTGCATCAATGAAGAACGATGTGACCAGCAGGGCCAATAGGAACACAGCCAGCTCCTGAATCCATGGCCCAAACGCCGCCAGTCGAAGCACGGCGTACGTGGCTGACAATACGCCGACGTGCAGTGCCGTCTGGAGCCGAAACATGACTGCGGAGGGCGATCACAGATGGCAGCACGGGCGTTGTGCCGGTGACCTCCGGCAGCCTGTACCTCGCTGATGTGCTCCGCCTTTCAAAGATCTGAAATGAAAACGATGCTTCAAACCCTCAGATCAACTCGAGGTCGAGCTTTTTGCATGTTGAACGTGCTTCGATTTCTTGATGGCCTTTACTCGGATATTCAACGAATGCGCAACTTTGTCATTTTTTTGGTCGTTGACTTTCAACCTTCTACTGAAACACATTGCATGATTCCACGTCACGATGATTTTCCAAACAAAGTGAACTTTACCGCTATGTACATGCCAGCAGGTTCACTAGTTCATTACATACAAAGTTATCCAATATATCATGCTGAGATTATTTGTATTGTCACGTTCAATACAACTAATTCAAGGATCAGCCATGGTTGTTTTGCTTCTATCGAAAAGCGAGCACACATGGGAAAGTCCTATGACCAGCATCCGCTCTAATATGGAGATAGTTATCAGGCTACTCTCATCGATAGCAGCAACTCGTCACTGACGAAGATTGCAAACCAAGTTTTTCCTAGACTCGTTCAATGCTAAGAAATCGCCCCATCCCTTACCCATACTTGACCTCTTTCTCTACCTTAGGTATTTTGGCGAAGTGCGAAATGACAAATACAATAGAGTGACGAGGACAACCTAGGCAGCGTTTGTATGAAGTAAGCGATTGATTCGCCATTGAGGCGATTTCGACACCTCAAGGTATACCATTTCAAGACGCTGTAAACCACCAAGCGCTTTCAGGGGTTGACAATTACCACGCGATTTTCGGAACGGTGTTATTGAGTGGAGCGGGCGGGGAATTGGCGGCCACCACGACATTCAGCGACAACGATCAAAAACATGTTTGGAAACGTCACCAACACCACTTGGCATTGGCAGAAAAGGCAGCATGCCGTTTGGACACGCCGACAACAAACACACCTTCCACAAAGTTGCAGCGGAGGCGCTTTTCCCGGCGTAAATCCACGCCCACTCTTCACTCGGTCTGAGGGCGTGGTGGATGTGCGAGCGGGGGGGGGGGGGGGGGGGGGGAGGGCGACCACACGCGTCTGTCCGGCACCGGGCGCCGATACCGACTGACACGATAAGGCCGGCTGTGCAGGCCGGCCGCCCGGCCAGATACGGCAAAGGCTTCCCCAGCGTGTCCCGGCGCGGCCGCCGCTGACGCAGGCCGTGACACTGTCCGGCTGGACAGTCAGCACTGTCCGGCCGCTGACGCAGGCCGTGACACTGTCCGGCTGGACAGTCAGCACTGTCCCGCCGCTGACGCAGGCCGTGGCACTGTCCGACTGGACAGTCAGCACTGTCCGGCCGCTGACGCAGGCCGTGACACTGTCCGGCTGGACAGTCAGCACTGTCCCGCCGCTGACGCAGGCCGTGACACTGTCCGGCTGGACAGACAGCACTGTCCCGCTAATGACGCAGCCCGTGCACTGTTCGGCTGGACAGACAGCACTGCCCCGCTAATGACGCAGCCCGTGCACTGTTCGGCTGGACAGACAGCACTGCCCCGCCGCTGACGCAGCCCGTGACACTGTCCGGCTGGACAGTCAGCACTGTCCCGCCGCTGACGCAGCCCGTGGCACTGTCTGGCCCGACAGACAGCACTGCCCAGCCGCTGACGCAGGCCGTGGCACCGTCCGGTCCGACAGACAGTCAGAATGCTAGCCCGCCCAAGCACTGTCCGGCCAGCCAGACAGGTGCCGTTCGCACAGCCAACCTTATCAGGTAGCGCTCGGAAGAGAAGACAACCAACGACACAGTCCAGCCTTGTGAAGTGGACCGAGTGGACTGGAGTGGAGCCGGACCTTCTGTAGTCGACTGTATCGTTCTGACGGGAACA